ATTATGCAATCATACTCCAAGACTGATTTAATTTATTGGTTAAATAATTCCCTACAACTTCCTATTTCTTCATCTCTCCAAAGTTCAACTTTTTGGCGTATAGCTTTGGCACTGAAAAGCTCTGTTCAATCAAGTTCATAGTTACAGATGTATTCACACATTTTGAAGCACTAAGCTTTAATAACTCAATAACGCAGTAATATATTGGATATCATATTCATAATTCTCATAATTAAGCCATTTTAAAACCCTTGTTTTGTTGAGAGCCTTTTTAGTGTCTCACTTGAGGACAGGCATATGGCTTTGGAGGATTTTCAACTGTGGATGCTCTGCGGAAAGCTTCAAGCTGTAAAGATGAGAATGTCAAAGAAATAAGCATGAAACAAAAATACCAAACCAGTTTCCCAAATATGCAAGTCATAAGCAAACAGTGAAACATATTCTAAAGGCAAATTAGGTCAGTAACATGCCATACCTTCTCACGGTTCTCAAGCAGCAAAACATTTCAGCAACTTAATGGTGGAGCCAAATTTCAGCCATCCACTAACTCACTTTAAAAAGAAAAAGAAAAAAAAAATCCCTTTTAGAAATGGACATGAATATCTTCCCCTGTTACTTACCAGTGCATTTTCTAAACCTTGGGTGATAACTTTTAAAGTCATAATAGTAATATAAAATTGAGCAACCACATATAAAATCTAAAGCTTTGTGTAAGAATGCTTTCATTTTCCTCCACTAACAGTGAGTCTTGACAGCATTAAGTGTTGTTAAAGTATCTTGATTTGAGAATGAACATTAAAAGGTACTCCAGTTATGGAAAAAGAATTCCTAAGAATTTAAAAAGCAAACAAATAGAAGCTTTGTTTAAACACTAACACATGGAATTCTGTGTAAACTTTTAATAAATCCTACACTCAAATATTAATACTTTAAAACACATGTGCCAACTACTTTATGGGAGGGTAATATACAACCAGAGGAAAAATCACTGTCATACAACAATGCCTGGGAATCTTTATCAAAGGTTTGCTGACATTCATAAAATTGAATTAGCAATTCCTACCACTAACTTCTGCACTAGGCAACTGTAAGCTAAAATTTACCAACAGGAGACAAACCACTTTGCATGTCAGAGCGCAAATAAATATACACCTAATTATTAGGGATTATGAGATAAGCTCCCTATTTGCAATGTTTTCAAGCCTTTTTTTTTTTAATACACTTTGCACTTATCAAAATAGCATGCCTACTACATACACTGTTTTAAAGACCCTGAGATGAACAGCTACCAGAGAAACATCATCTGTGTTCCAGTACAGTCAGTACCCTCCCTTCCTATACCTACTTTGCAGAACACCTGAAGCTTCAGAAGTGTGTGTTACTAATACAAATATACTTAATCAAGGACCTAAACTTTAACTAGAGGTAGGTAGTGGAAGAAAAAAAAAATACACTGAGCTAAAAAAATCCCCAAAACATTTGATAGTTTTTGTCTTCTGATTTTCAGGTAGGAGAGCAAAACAGTAACCATGTCGTTTTCACTGTCTGTAACAATAGACCTAAACATAAATTAAATACATTAACAAGCTCTCCGGTCATGAAAGAGTTTTTTCTCACTGTAATTTCAGCTTCAGGCATTTGGGTAGAGGACGAAAAAAACTCAACAATCTCACTTAATCCGCGGTGACACTTTATATAACCAGACAAAAGCATCATTGTTTCTTGCTTTAAATGCTCTATTAACTGCTTGGAAATTGGTACACTGCTTAGCTGAAAAACAAAACCTCCTGGGTTTGACTAAGTTTCACCTGCACCCCACCTCAAAGCCAAACACGCTGAAACATAACAAAATATGAATTATGTTGCAGAAGCCTCTGGCACCACGGCGTCGCACATCGCTGCCACCCCACCCCCGCTCAGACCGCTCTTGTCCGTTTCAGGTGTTTACCTACACTTGAGGCAGCACGGAGAAAACAGCGTGAAAATCAACAAGATGACAGCGCTCAGAAAATAAGCTCGGGCGAACGTGACTCGCTCACTGCTTGAAAGGAACCCAGCTGCAGTGGTCCGACCACTAATAATTTTAACTACTCAACACAGAGCCCCGGTAGAATTCGGTTTAAGATCCACTAAAGACAAGGTCCTCCCAGAAGGCGGCGGAGCTGACCGCGATCCGGCTCACGGGCCTTTCGCACCCTCAGGATTAAATCGCGGGAGAAGGAGCCGCC